CGTACCAAGTGAATATAGTTCTTGGACTAAAATTCAGTTTGGATTTTGACTTTTCATTCTTTTTTTTTCCTTCCCATAAGACCACTTATGCTATCAGTCATGAATTACCAAAAAAAAAAAAAAAAATCATTCTAGGGTTGGAGAGATGGCTCAGAGGTTAAAAGCACTGGCTACTCTTCCAGAGGTCCTGAGTTCAGTTCCCAGCAACCACATGGTGGTTCACAACTGTCTATAATGAGATCTGGTGCCCTCTTTTGGCCTGCAGGCAGAACACTGTACACAAAATAAATAAATAAATAAATAAATAAATAAATAAATAGTAAATAAATAAATGTTTTTAAGAAAAATCATTGTCTTTATAGAAAGCCCTGCCTTCCTTCATCTGCAATAATATGAATAAGTTTAAATGACCTTACTTTAAAAGCCATACTCAGTGATCCACGTTTTTAGACCTGTGACAGAAGGGGGAGCCCAAGCCTACGAATGCTCAGAACATCGCCCTTCCTTGTGTTCATAGAGAAGATGGGCTTTCTCTATTCCCGACTTACTGGGTCTTCAGCCACGTTACAGACAATTCTCAGCTTTCTATCTTTTATTTGTAAACTAGGGGTTATAGTAGGATTTTACTTGCAAGGGGGTGGGGGCGGAAGCAAACAGGTTCCCAGGGTATCCCAGATCCTTCTGGGTTACGGAAAAGCATCTGACTGTGAATCTCTTCAGAGCCCAAATCTAAAGGTTGGTCTCCTAGTCTAGCTGTTAGAACTGAGGCAGGATGATTCTGAGTTTGAGGTCAGCCTAACCCTAACGGTGAGACCGTTTCTCAAAAGGCAAAATAAAAATAATACGTAGAATCTTGATATAATGAATCTAAAGCCCCTTTCTTTTGTGAGAAGTGGCCTGGGACGTATTGGTTTATTACCTTCCTGATAGTGTTATTTGAATTATACCTTTGAGGATAGAAGCATAAACATCACAACTACTAAGTCTGCTGTTATTCAATACTGCTGTCTTTCTCTTGGAGTCTGAGTCCTCATTAAAGACACAAAACACCAGAAAAGCCTTAACAACAGCTTAGGAGTTTAGAACGAGTAAAGCTGATTTCACTCATAATGAAAATTTATAAAGCGTGTTATAATTTATGAAGAATTTTTCCTCTCTTAATTTTAATTGCTCATTAGATCAGTTTGTTTGAATAGCACATTTATATGGAGATAAAAAAAGTCTTTAGGAAAATGATATAAGATGTTTCGTGATTTAAAATTACAGACCTAATATGTGCATGATGTCACCGGAATTTGAACTTGGGTCTTAGAGAGTAAGATTTATGTGCCATTGTTATTTAACCCTTTTAACCCATTTTTGTCTTTTCACTACAATGAAAATGAACAGCAGGCGCTTAACAGCAAGTTTGTCCAATCGTCTGTAGACAAGTGACCTCTTAAACTGAAGGAAGTGGCATGGACACATTCCCCCTGGTCCACAGAAGGGACTCGTCTGACAAGCAGAGGTCTGGTGTCTGTGGAACATTTAACTGGATGAGGAATAACATTATACTGTCATTCTGGCCCTAAAAATTTCAACCAAAGAAATGAGGGCAATTCCCCAGTCACACTCGGTAGCCGAGAACCTGCACCGTCATGGTCCTGATGCCTTTCCCTGTGGAGCCAATTACTTGGAGGAAGGAGACAAAGAGGCAGGTCCCTTGTGAAACTGGCCCTTGCAGTACACAGCTTCTTACCCGCCCAGGTACCCAAAACTACTGCTTCCCAGAGACGACAAGAATCCCAAAGAAGGTTCAGAGAGGTGAGAGGACGGCCTTCTGGCTGTGCTTGTGTAGGACACGCTTCTTGATGCTCACCCCATCTGCCTTTCTTGGAGAAATCCTGGCCAGCCCTCCCCTCCCCATGAGTCTTCTTCAGTGGGGACCTCCCTCTCATAATATTCCAAACACAGTCTCTCCAGGGATTCTCTTGACTCCTTTGGGAATCTCAGCAAAGCAAACCTTTGTATTTCCTTTGTTCCTTTTCTCAACACTGTAACTAAAGCACTTTTTTTTTCCCCCCGAGACAGGGTTTCTCTGTTGCTTTGTTGCCTGTTCTGGAACTAGTTCTTGTAGACCAGACTGACCTCGAATACACAGAGATCCACCTGCCTCTGCCTCCCAAGGGCTGGGATTAAAGGCGCATGTCACCACCGCCTGGCCTAAAACACTTTCTGAAAAAAAAAATTCTACATAGGTATATCTAGTTCATCCTTGGAAAATGAGATTTATCCTAGGATAAAAAAAGGGGGAGTGGGGAGGAAACAAGGCGATGCGTTTGATACAAAATACAAGTTAGTATTTTGTGTTTTCCTCTTCCATTAGTTAACTGTGTCAAGATTACTATCAGTCTAGGTTAAAGCATAAGGCACATGTATCTCTAGTTCCTTCCATGCTGTTTCTATGCAGTTTATTTACTTAATTCGGGATCCTTCTTCTGCCAATTTGCAAATATATTTCACAATGTGTTTTACAAAAACTCATTATTGAGCTTTTAATACCCAAGAGGGCCTTCCTTCTCTCCTGAAGGATCCTAACACTTGAGATGAGGAGGGTTGCTCCCGAGAAAGCACAGGACGGCCACACAAACTGGAATTTCAGATAAACAACAGATAGCCTTTCAGTAGAAGTATGTCCCAAATAATAGATACTTATTTATGGGACATACATACGCTGTATGCAATAGCATATGAAATTGCATATTAAAGGCAAATGCCATATCAGATTTACTTGTAACTTATTTTAAATTCAAATTTCACTAGGTATTTAATATTTTATCTGACTCCCTCCCCTTCAGCAGACCAGTTGCAGCTGGGCTGTGTCTGAGGAAGCAGGGTGTTTTTGTGTTGTCTTGTCTACCTCAGGCTGTCCCAGAACTGCGCAGCCGAGTGTGCCTTTGAGCTGATCTTGCACTTCTGATTCTCTTCCCCAGACCACTCACGTACTCTGCAGTATATGGTTTTTTTTATGGTTTTTTTTTTTTATTTAAACTTGCACAGTTGGCAGAGCACAATCATCATCTTCTTCCTTCAGAAATGACATGAAGAGGCATTAGTTCGAATACGTGCATTCCCTTGGGGCTGCCCAGCTCTGACACCTCAGTATCAGAGTGGATGATGGGATGTGGCCTGCTTAATAGTGCTTCATAAATCATAGCTTGAAGCTACTCACGGCCTCTTTTGGAGGCATGAATTCTAATGAATTGCTATTCTTTTGTGCTTCCTCCTTGGGGTGGTTTAAAACTCTCAACTCTAAATCTAATCAATAAGTTTCTGGGTCTATTTAAATACTGACATTTGGAAATTTCTGAGGTTGCAATAAGCTTCAACAAGACAGAGGACAAGGCAAGGTAAATCAAATAAAACTGCCACTGAAGTCCAGAAAAGTAACAGTAAAAGTTCTCCGAGTGTCAAACGGAAACCTAATTCTTTCACAGAGTATGGCATCTATCAATCAAGCCTCCAGGTCAAATTACACAGGTTTAACCACTGCCGGATAGAGTTCAAATGGGGTACAATAAAACAAAACAAAATCCGAATTCTGAATGACAAACTAGACTTCTGCTAGACTGTAAAAGTAACCTGTTTATAGGTGTCAAGTGTTAAGGCCAGCAGTCTTTCAGACAGCTGGATGAACTCTTTGATGGGAGAAGCCATTGACTTCACTCACTGAGCCTCTGTCACAGCGCCGCTGCCATCCACCAGGTTCGGTTTTAAAGAGTATTTATTTCCCACTCCAACCCAAATCTCCATTTAAAAGACCAACGGGGTTTGGGCTTAGGGTCCGAAGACAGAAGATCTATAATAGTTTTGTTACCATTTTTCCTCAAAAGTCTACAATAGCGCGATAGATTAACCATGGGGGCATATTCTTTGCTCTTCTTTACATTTAAGAGCTGAAGCCTCATAGTCCTCCCTTAGATTTGGATGGGTTTAGCGTCTTTCTTCATCAGTAGGCTGTGGCGTGAGTTACATGCTAGTACTCTCTGGAGTGATTCATAAAGAAGCCTTTGATTCCCAGCTAGGCCTTTTAAAATCACCGTGTAAGGATCCAATTCAACTGGAAAGATTTGGGGAACCACACACATACACACTCTGATAGACTGTTCCAGCAGAGTCCAAACTAGGCATTTCCACTGAGGTGCACTGGCCAATGAAACTATCTGGGCTTTCCAGACTAGCCTAGCCCAGCCCCGCCCCGCCCAGCTCAGCTTCTGGCTGAATATGATTATGGGAACTCGGATGATGCCTGAGGGAATAGAGCACAACCCAGGCAGATGCCCTCTGGAATTACCAGCCTGTGAAATCCTGATGTAATAAAACGATTATTTTAGGCCACAGAGTTTTAGTTGGTAAAGAAGCAACAGCTCATCAGAACAAACGGAGATGCTCTAAGCGCTATGCTTAAAACGCGTTAGAATAGGGTGTCCGGATTGGAGGGAGGGGCCGGGGAGGAACGCGGAACATGAACCGCCCATAAATGTCACTGACAGGGATAAAAGAGGAGTCGTGGGGTTTAGAGGACCTGCACAAAGTCTGAAGACATCAGAGTCACGGGGTTTGAACAGGCTGCTACCATTTTGGACGACATTACAGCTTTGGCCTAGAGAGTCAGAGAGATCGCGGTGGGAAAGTCTGGCCTCGTGCAGACACCATGAGGAGCAATGAATAAACGTGGTGATTCAGTTTGCACGCCTAAGTGTGGACCACGGAAGAGTCGGGTGATGCGAAGTCACAGGAGTCTCCAGAGAAAATGCCACAGGAAACAGCAGCAGATTTTTTTTTTTGGTACTTTTATTGAAAAGGTACATTTAAAAAAATACACAGACATTTTACCATTTACAGATGGCAGATATAGGCCCTCCACAAGAGTTCACTCTCTGCATTGTTTTATGATACCTCCTGCCCCTGATATCACAAACATTCCAGTCTTCTCAACATCAGTTGGGGTTTTTTGGGGGGGGGGGGGGGTTGGGGGTGGGGAAGGGCATGGTCATGTGACCTGTGACATAGTCATCAAACAGAAAGACAGATTGTTCAATTATAAATTATATATCTTCTGTACATTATTGCATCAGGGAGCCACAGAGTTATGTAGCATCATTACAAATGAAGAGAGTTTAAAATGAAGATCATCATGTAGAAATACACGGATTCATTGTCTCCTTGCGGATGCACAGAAGGTGCAAAACTGTGCAATTAGGAAGCTCTTTGTGTTTCTGTATACATTTGCTTAGCAACTCAAACCAGTGAGGGTGCTACAAAAATAAGTTAAAACAAAAACAGCAAACAGGTAGTAATTATAGCTATGTTATATGGCTTTTCTATTCTGTTTAAATATCTCCAAATAAAACATGAAATAAAGAAAATACATTATCTTTTGTTCTCTTAAAGAGAAAAAAAATTTCAAAGCTACTTTGCTTCCTAACAATTACACAGCAATAATAAAAAAAAAAGTTTAACTCGACAAGAGTTACAATCTAGTACTACACGGGATACAACAGTACTCAGGTCTAGAACGGTACACAATCCCTATGGACACTAGTACACCAGAAGGAAGAACGCCATGATCTGTGGGGAAGATGGTATCCACAATTAAGCACTTGCGACGAACTTCCGTTCCTCACTAGAACATGCCCGCTTGGATTCCGGAGTTATTTACAGACACCCGAGGAAGAGTTGACTGTTCAAGTCTGCCAGGAGGAGATTCCATTTCGTTTCTAAGCCAGATAACGTCCATGGGAATACAGAGGTCGGTTCTCTTTTTCTGATCAATATATTTTCAAGAAACTTAAATATCTCAGATACACCAATCAGCTGGGGTAGGACAGAGGGGGCACGGGAAATGGGGATAGTGCCCTTCAGCCTGGCCTCCATTTGGCTTTGGAGGTTGGGCTGATCTGCGGCCTGCACTTTGTCAGTGGGTGGGTGGGTGGGGTGGTTACAGTCACATACAAGGCTTAACATTGCTGAATCCTCTGGGCTTTTCTTCTATGCCTTTCTGTTGGCCTGGCCTGTTGCGGGCTGCAAGTATTTAGTAAGGGGCAAAGAGGATGGAGGCCGGAGTGGCCCGGATGGGCCCATGGCCAGGCCTCAGCAGCGCAGGAGGAATGGCTGCAGCCTGGAAGAGAGAGGTGGATGGCCGAGGCGGTAGGGACAGCGCCGAGGACACAGCCGCAGCCGCCAGGGGCGAGGACAGGAAAGTCGGGGTCAGAGGCTTCATCAGATCTTTCTGGAATGCGAGCTTTGCCTAAGAAGGGGCAAGAATGGGAAACGGGATGAGGGTAATGTTTACAAGTCATAGCACCACGGGTTTTCACTAGTAAAACACTAAAGAGCCAAAACAACTGAATTGTGAACGTCTTGACTTTGGGAAGCCATGAAATGATGGCTGTTGCTGGGCTCGGTGGCTCTGGGTGTGACCAAACTTTTGTACACTTTGGTTCTGTTTTGCTCTCTGGAGAGAAACCCAGAAGGGGCCTGCGTATACCACCAGCTCAACTCAAATCTCAGACCCATGGTCTAGAGAGATGTATGCAGCCTGGGCTGGCCTTGCCCTAGACTCAACCTCCCAGAGTGCAGCCACACTCCACATAGAGGAGCCACGGCATCCAATGTTCAGCATTGGATTTTGAGGAGCAAAGGTGTGAAGACTCCACATCTCTTAGACTGCACTGGGGTTAGGGAACTGGGATGTAGAACATTAGGGACCCATGAGGAGTTGAGACTATAAAACCATTTTGCCCTTCTTGTATTGTCCCCATCCCTGTGATGAGTGGTCCCTGAAAAAAGTTATAATTAAGTCAAGTTCTGAGCTTGACAGTGACTGTAAGTGGGTTAGAAACCTCTCAACTTGAAGGGATCCCAGTGTGGACGCCTTCTGGGAAGAAATCAGTCATAAAATTCTGTCTTTTGTAATGAAAAGGGGCTGTGCCAACTGCATTTGCTTAACGCAGGTACCACCTGCCTGTGGCATCCACTGGTAGCTTTGGTGAGGCCAGAAGATGATCTAAGCTCCCCTCCACCTGGCCCATCTCAGCTCCATCTCAGACCATGCTAGACCCTGCTCCAGAGACACTGCGAATCCATCCGTGTATTTATATGGTACCTATCGCTGAAGTCTCTTGGTATTTGTGCCAGAAACTGAAAGCGGTACAAATTGAGAGCAGGCGAGCTGGCCTGGTTGCCACCATGAACAGAAAGAGCAATACAAACACTTTCATCTGTATATAAGCACATAGTAGAACAGAGGACATAGGAAATCAAACCTTTCCCGAACTCCCAGGCATCGCTTGCTGTTGTTCTAGGCCTTTTAGTTTAGTTTAAACCTTACAGAAGGATGTTTTTGACAAGGTTTTAGTAGAAGTAAGACATGAGCTCTTATAAAACGATTTATTTTTATTTTAATTGTATGTGTGCATGAGTGCAGATGCCTGCTATGCTCAGGAGGTGTGGGACACCCTGGAACTGTTGTGAGCTGCCTGTCCCGAGTGGTGGCAACTGAAGTTGGGTCCCGTGCAGGAGCAGCAAGTGCTTTAAGCCCCTGACCTGTTTTCTCTCTGGCACCAAGACTCTGACTTCTGAAGAAGCTCCCCTTTGCTCTTGTAAAGAAGATGACTTTAGAGTTCCCTGTAGCAGGAATTAAGTAGTTCATTCTAATATTGCTGGATCTGTGAGGTGGCTCAGCAGGTAGGCGTGCCTGCTGCTTAGTCTGACATGGCTCAGTGGATATATGTGCCTATGGCCAGGCCTCACAACCAGATTCTGATGCCCAGGACCCGCAAGGGAGTAGGAGAGGACCAACTTCATCAAGTTTTCCACTGCCCTTCACATAGGCACCAAGGGCCAAGCACCTCTCTTCCATGAATTCACAACCATTAGCTTAGCACTAGAACTTGTGCTAAGTAGGTAGCAAATTCTGGATTAGATCCCCAGGCCAGGCAATTAGATGATTAATATATAAATAAAATAAAAATTAATGAATGGATTAATCATTCCCCAGAGGCTAGTCTAGGTACCTCCAGTTCCGAGGCTCTCCCTATGACCACTATCCAGCCTAACCAGGCTGTGCCATAAGTCAGGTGTGCAAGGGGAACTTACGGCTAAGATGCTCGGGCTCCTCTGGAGCTTGTTGTAAGGGCTGTATTTCGGCTTCAGCGGTTTTCCTGCGACACGGTCTTTATGCCTTCGGCTGGAAATGTGCTGAAGGAAAGAGGTAGTGAGCATTAGCTGGCTCTGGGAAAGCTCTATTTCCTAGACAGCCATAGCTGGTTTCTCCATCCCCCCCCTCCCCCAGGAGAGGACTTTATTTCCATCCAGTCCCTCTAATGTTCTCTACAGTCTTATCAGAGTCACCCTGGGTTGCCATGGCCGGCCATCACCAAGCCTGTCTTCCTTGACAAGATCTTGTGTGTGTTAGGGGACAAGTGTCACATCCATCGACCCTTGGCTAAGGAAGCATTGTTTGCTCTTGGTAACTTTTGTGCCCACTTATCTGTCTCCAGTCACTGGGCTGGAAGCTGAGAGGTAGGTCGTTCAGCTCAGATATTCTCTTCTAAAGAGCGGAACAACCCCACACTGGTATCTCAGCGGCTTCGGCTGAAGGAGCGGAAGGAGCTCCCACAGCACTCTTCCATCGTAGCACTTACGCATTGCGGATTAAATTTAACAGCAAACGCACAGAGAACCATCGAGAGAACCATCGAGAGATGAGGAGCCGTACACAGACACGACCTGGCATGTTCAGATTATTTAACTTGGGCTGCCTTACCTGCTTGAGTTGGATCTCTGAGTTAACGTGAACATCACAGATTTCACAATGAAACGTCTTGTTCTGGAGTCCCGAACCCTTGCTGCCGTTCTGCATCTTTAACCTTGACCCAGGTCTTGGGTAGGACTTAATTGGACCAGCTCCATTACGAGCCTCAACCATGGTCTTGTGTTTAGATCCTAAAAATAAAGACACACGTTTTTTAGTAGCTCTTTAAGGACAGGAGGCGGGGCTGGAGATTTTGTCCAGTTGGTGGGGTTTTTGCTTAGCTTGTGTGAAGACCTGGGTCTCATGCTCAGCATTTAATGTTCCTGCTGTGGTGGTTTATGCCTGTCATCCCAGGACTCGGAAGGAAGTTGGAGGCAGGCGTTCTAGGTTATCATCAGCTACACAGCAAGCCCAAAGCTAGCCTGTGCTACACGAGACCCTACCTAAATAAACAAACGAATGAACATGAATTATAGGAAACCCTCTATTTTATGTTTCTTCTCTCTTTCCTCTTCCATTACGTTTTTCTCCCTCCACTCTTCTCTCTTTCCCCCCTTTCCCCCAACTTCCTCTCTTCCTTTCTAATTTTCTTTGAGACAGGCTTTTACTATATATCCCAGACTGGCCTGAACTCACTTTGTAGCCCATGCTATCCTCAAACTTGTGATTCTCCTGCCTCTTTTGTGCTAAAATTACAGGCATGCACTACCACCTCTAGCCCTTGTACATGTTTTCTTCTCATTAATTTTAGTGACCGAGTAATATATTCTATCACACTGGGCTGCAATAATTTATTCAGAATATTATTACTGACGAATTTTTATGCTTTGTCTCATCAGTAAATAGCGGTGGCCAGTCCACACAAACCTTTGACTATATTCCTGTCCCTTCATCAGAAAGATTTTTGGTAAGTATTAGATGCTTTCTGATGAGATAAACGACATACTTCATCTCCACACTACTTCAGCTTTGAACTTTTCAGTCATATGACCATACTTTGCTAAAATCACTCCTAAGTAAAGCGAGTGACACAGAGCGGGAGGAATAGGGAACACACTTGGCATGTAAGCAACAGATGTTACATTCTGGTGGGAAGAGCTGGGCTGGGTTATCAACACTCTTTAGACTCAAAGCCCTGCAGCTAACCTGTGTTGTGTGCCTCCAGCTGTGACAGAGAGTTCACAGCCACTTTGCATAGCGAGCAATAGAGCAGTTTTTTGGCTTTTTCTTCTTCGGATTCAGCAGCAGATCCCGGAGCTCCGTTTGCGCTCTTCGAGGGAGAAGTGATGGCCGCAGGTGGCAGAGGAGCGGTTCCAGATTTGAGGAGAAAGGCGCCTCCCTCAGAGCCTGAGGGCTGAGCGGAACCGGTGGCTTTTAACTTCCCTTTGTCTTCTATGGAAGACAACACAGAGAGGTGTTATTAGAGCCTCCCGCGCCTTACAGACCAGACTTAGAAACGGGAATTTGATTTCCATATCAAGTAGAAAAACCAACACAGGTTCTTTTAAAGTTTAGCACAGATTTTAGCTTGCATAGGTTGATCTGAACAAAATCTCATCCCCTTAGCTTCCACATCAGATCGCCCCCAAATCCTGGTGATCTATGATGACTTTGGTCTCCCACTTTGGGTAGGTGATTTTTCTGGAACCCCTAAGTCATAAGTCATGCTCTAGGGAAGGCTTCACTCTAACAAAATCAGCTTCTCTTCAGCATGTTGACAAGACGAGGCGGCAACCTGAGGTAAGTCATTAGCCCATGTTGGTTTCAGCTGACAACTTAAGATTTTGTTATGGCCTGGGTATGAAGTTGAAATTTAACTTTTACACCAAGTCAAAACTTTATGTGCTTCAGTAGGGGGAAGGGAAGAGACACGGTTAACTGTGGTAATGAGTGGTAAGTTTTCCCCGCTCTCTGAACCACAAGGCATTCTATCCAAAATATGGTGGAGCTGAGTCCCATTCTTTAAGCTAGTGAAGGACTGACTGCCCACCTGCCCAGCTGAATAAAAAGTTTTAAATAATCACATCACACCAAGCCCGGTCACAACATGAGTATTAGTCAAATAATTTAAAGACGTCTTGACTAATTTAGTCACGTGATTGCAGAAGGCCTCTTATCCTGAAGGGCCCTGAGCAGGCTGTGAGGGGGTCACAGTGACTTTGCTAGAATCTAGGCTTTGTTCAATGACTCCCTAGGGAGACAACAGCTTACCTGTCCCGTGTGGAACTCTAGTAGAGCTTGTACTCTTAGAAAACGGCTAGAGAGATGCCGACTGACTCGCATTAAGGAAGATTAGGTGGGGAAGCCTACATGGAAACGTATTTGCTAACTGTCCTAGGCAATTCAGGACGGTGTACAGTTGGCTGACAGGACCACCAGTTGTCTGTTTTGAGATTTAGTCAAAATCAAAAACAAAACCTGCACGTGGCAAACCAAATGCCACCCTATAGCTATTCTCTCTTTTTAAAAACAGTTTTAAGACATTTTTCCTTTTTTGAATTTAATTTTTTTGAGAATTTCATACATGAGTATAGTATTTATATCATTTCTACCCTCCCTTTTTTCTTTATACACACACACATATACACACACACAGAGACAGAGACAGAGGAAGAGAGAGAGAGAGAAATATAAATACAGCCTGTCATTTATTTTTCTTAAGTGAAGCTACTGTACATTGTTTTCAATAATCATCTGCTTCAGGTTACAATGAGATGTATGATATATATATATATTTTCTTTTTATGCTTATTTCTTTAAGAAAAAGCTAACAATTCCGCTTTTAATTTCCTGTTTAAATTGCTAATTTATTCACTAACAAATGCACGTTGACATCATGTTAATTGCTGACAAGGTGCGAGACACCAAAGAGAAGAGTAAGTGAGCCAGGTATAGACGTGCAGAAAGTTACAGAGGAGCCAAGGAAATGAGATAATCGTTCAGGGGTTCTAATTTATGGTAGAAACTTGTGAGAGGCATCGGAGCATACAGCAGAAATGGTTATTTCTGCTTGGGAAGAAAGGAGCATTTTTTTTTTTTTTTATTAAGGAAGTGGCGTTTTGGAATTTTGAAGGTCAGATTTAGGTAAGCACAGAACGAGGGTGAAAAGGATGGAAAATGACTGGTCAGAAGCCTCAGCGTGAGGGCAGGGGTAGGGGTGAAAACATTTCAGGGGCTCAGCCTGGCTGTCGAGTACAAGACATCAGATGTTGCAGGAAATATTCCCAATAAAGGTCAACTGAGCCCAGAGCCAGAGACTCAAATCCACTGAAATCCATACTGAGGGCAGAAACCTCCCTATCGACAGCAGATTGAAATGTGGAGTTTATTGTGTGATTTCAGATTTAGATAAATAATTGTTTTCCATGAGATTGATTCCATTAGAATCAATACTTCAAAACATAAGAATTTTGACTTTGGAAATACACACATGATTTCAACATAGTCAGAGCATTTTGTTGCGTGATTGAAGCCTGCTGGTCAATAAAACAAACTCTAACATCAAGAAAATGATGGCTGTATTTACATATTTAAATCAGTGTGAACTTCAAAACAGCAGAGCCGAATTTTATTGTCCCCCCCCCCCCCCCCCGTGGCTTGATATCACAATCTACTATCTTATTTCTCTTTGCTAAGTGACATTTTTAAAACCTGAGTTTTAAAATGGATTTGAAGGTTTAATTAATGTATTGTTTACTTCTGTTTCCTTTAATAAAGATGCGTGTCATCTGGAACTTCGAGTTCGCGGATTCCATTTTCAAGTATTCCCTTGCCTACTGTTAATTACCAGGCTCTCTGATTGTCATAATCACTTCCTGCCCGTACACACACTCCTTGTAAGGTTTTCTGCTGTGGGACTCGGACGCTGTGGGACCTCTCACCCACTTCCCAGAGCTCCAAATACTGAAAGACTCTTTGCTGCGCGACTTCCTTCATATCCAAGTTGATGAACCACAGAACGTCAGCCATCAATACTTGTCATCTGTATTTGCCACTCTAGAACCTTCACACAAACAAGTTCACCTTGTTCAAAGTTAATACTGTATTTCATATACGGTACCTTGGAGGCCTCTTGTCCTAACACGAAAGGCAGTGATAAGGAATGGATCCAGGTAGATGTCAAACCTGTACATATACGTTTCTTAATTTAAAAAAAAAATCCTTTACTTACTATGTTTGCCTTACATTTTCATTTAGAACTCTGAGAACCCTACCAAATTTTTATTATTCTATTTGCAAAGGTTACTCTTGAATCTGATTTCATTAGTGTGAAAATTTCTCATCAGGAGGGTTTATCACGAGCTAATGTGGGCCAGGGCTCAATTACAGCTTACAGCAATTGATACTTCAGATATCAACCCACCTGAAAAATTCTTCTCAGATGGAGTAGCCCTGCCCGGTAAAGCTGGCAATGCCCCTGACTCTGGAGACTGATGCTTTCATCTGTGATTTCACTCGCGCAGTTCCAGCTATGCTAGCTCCCCATTACCACACACTTTCATGTAATGTGTGCATGGAATCCCATGATTACATCTCAGTCTTACGGGCACACGCATTTGTGGATGGTCAGGGGGGTGACTTCTCTCTGCACTGTGTTCTCCACGTTATGGTGAGAAACTTAGAAATCTGGTCTCTATCATTAGCCTGGCTGACGGAGCAATTTGGCCAGACATGCGTCCTTCTGGACACGTCACAAACGGAACTTTCACACATTTTAGTTATGAAATTGCAGGTGTCTGGCCTTGTACAACCTAAGCCTTCAGAGTATTGATGATGAACCAGAGTGGTATCGCCAGTGTCTGTCCCTGTTTAATCTTAGCCCTTCAAGAAACCAATAGCACCTACCTGACTAACCATGTCCAGATATTATTAATCACACTGAAGAAATGTAAAATAATGCACTTATTTTCTGCCTTTTCCTTACACCTCCCCATGGTTTAGTTTTCTCCCTTTGTAACCTGTAGTGGTCCCTTTAAAAGATGGTGGGCACCTCCCCACAGCTGCAGCTGCAGTTAGCTGCAGAGTGTAGCTGATAAGCTTTGCTAACTTATCTTCAAAGAATGTCTGTGTCCCTGAGAATTTTCCTTGTGGTTTTTTATATTACTACCAAGTTGCTAATGAATGGACACACACACACACACACACACACACACACACACACACACTTGGGAATTTGTTAGGACAGAAGAAATAGATTGAGAAGAAATATGATGGAGAAGCAGAAGAAGAAAAAACATTGTAAAGTAATTCGAACAAGAATGAATTAGAACAGAGTATTGTAACAGAGAATTGGATTTAGAATGAGACGGAGACTTTGAGAGAAGAAATTATAAACAATTAGGACAGAAGAATTAGAGTAGAGGCAGCAGAATAAAGAGAAATCAAAGGAGCACAGAATCGAAAGAGCATGTGTGAGAGATTTGTTCCCTACAGCCATCAGACTTTAGTTCCTACACTTACTGTGGCTTCTCTTTTCGAACCCTGAGTGAAAACCTTTAAGGCAGGCCCTTGAAGGCTTTCAATATTTTTTTCTAGCCAGGTTTCAATGATGGAGTAACATACATATCTATATATTAACAAATCTGCGTTCACTATAAAAATTTAGAAGATAAGGTCAGATGACTTATAAAAAGTCATGAGTTCACCAAAATGTTGTATATCAATTTTATTTTATTTATTTTACACAAATTCTAATGAGGGAGAAACCATTGCTACCTACACTTTTATGTTTAGTCTCAGTTTCTTTTGCAAAATTTCTACAGACCATAATGGTGCACATATTTGAATACATCTCTACATTTATGTAGGCAGATACAGAATGTCCCTCCCCGTCATCCCAGAAGGTTTGTTTGAACTCCTAATCAATTAAGAACTCCTAAAGGTAACCACTATTCTTGCCTGAATCAAATTATACAAGTAACTATTTTAAACCTTCATATAAATGGAATCACACAACAGGCATTTCTGAACTATTACACGGAGAAGGTCTTTTTCTCCCTTTCCAGGTCATATCCTGGAAACATGTGACTACACTATAGTTTTTCTTTTGGATAATGGTGAACATCTGGAATGTTTTCAGTTTTGCCTACTTTGAGTAATGCTACTATGAGCATTACGTTGTTTTGTAAATTTAAATACTAATCTGTAGCCAGCAGAATCTCTGGACCATAGGATATGCATCTCTCTCTCGTTAGTAGGTTCCAAAAACAGTTTTCCAACATAGTTGTACCAGTTTATCTTCTTATCAGGAACATATGAGAACCCAGATTTCCTGCATTCTCTCTAGGACTAGGTACTGAGGTATCTAGGGAGAAAAGGTGGGTGCATGTTGCAAAAGGCTAATGCCATAATAGAGCTCTAGGATGCGCGCGCACACCCACACCCTCCCCCCA